ATGTCTCTCGGCTGGCCTGGGAACGCCTTGGGGTTCCCCCGGAGGAGCTGGAAGAAGTGGCTGGGGAGAGGGATGTCTGGGCCTCCCTTCTGAAGCTGCTGCCCCCGCGACCCGACCCCGGATAGGTGGAAGAAAATGGATGGATGGATGGATGGATGGATGGATGGATAGTACAACAATAAAGAAACGCAAATCTCAAAGCACTTTATTTTTGTTCTAATGTATTTTATAGCTGTGGTCCAGGCAGGATTTTTCGAAAAAATTACTTTCCTTAAAATTGAAAAGGCAGCATGTTTAATTACATTATTTTTAAATAACGATTCACTTTTGTTTTTGTTACTTAAGAAATATGTAACATTGCCTTAATGCAACGGTTGGAAAAAAATACATTTAAGCATGGATTAATGTTCAAAACATATTTAATGTGAAAAATACACTTTATTGCCTGTATTTGTCATTCTGTCTTGCAAAACAGACTGGAGTAGATCATGCAGATTCTATAGACTGAAGCAGAAATTTTTATAAATCAAATAATTTTGAATCGAAAATCAATTTTGAATCGAATTGTAACACAGTAAAAGATTCCTACCCCTAGTCAGAATGATTTACAGCAAAATGAAACTTAGATGATTTGTTTGTAATCTGAGCGAACTCAAAGATCAGAGAAACTTTATTGTCCTGAAACAAAACTAGCTGCTCTTAGTAAAGACGAGAATAAAAATGACATTTTTTTTAACCAAAGAGCAACCAGGAGTAATAAAATCACTGAAAATAAAAATGGGACTGACAGCAGCTGTCAGAATTAGACATTGACTGATTTAGGTTTTTGATGGCCGATACGATACCGATTATTTTGACGAAATACGACAATACGTGCAGACGATTTCTTTGGCCGATTCTTGAAGCCGATACTCCTTTTCTTCCTCCATTAACGTGATAAAAATAAGAATGATAAATAATAGAATTAGTCCTTTTCCAACTTTTCTCATGTTCTCTTTAGCCTCACTATTTATCAGTCAGCCACCAAACACTGTCTTCCAACACATAGTGTGTACCGTATTTTTCGGACTATAAGCCGCACCTGCATTTAAAAAAAAAAACAAAAATCCGCAAATATTAACATATAAGCCGCACCGGACCATAAGCCGCACCCCCAACATAAAGAAAACAGTACACCCAAATTTGCTGTCAAAAAGGTGAATTCAACATCAAAACATAAAAAGCAAACCTTTAAGAATTAAAGTTCGGAGGAATACGGTTCACTTAACTGACCTTATTTTGGTAGTTTTCTTTAACAGTTTCTGGTCCAACAAAACATCTCATTCATCTTCCTCCGGCGAACTGAAACCATCGAAGTCCTCCTCTTCAGTGTCGGAGGTAAACAAGCTGAGAAAAGCTGCGTCACACAGCGGTATCTGTTCAATGTTGCTTTCTGTGTCGCTGTCCTCCCGGGGTAATGCTGGCTCTGAAGCTGTGGTGGGAAAGCCCTCCTGCTCCAGCATACGTCACTGCATGGGATTTCTTCCCCGGGGAGTGCAATGAGGGAAAAAAAAAAGTCTGCGGCTCTTCACTCAACGTTTATCCACAAACTAGTCCTGGATTAAGCTCCAAAGTTTTTATCAGTCTGATTCCACCGTGAAAAATGCCTGTTTTATCCCCTTTTATGAGTTTTTGGCCATTGACTATCTTTAAATCGCTGCTTCCTGGTACAACAGTCGGCTCTGGAAGCGATCGCTTTTTTCTTTTTTCTTTTTTTTCCTTTCTTTTTTTGAAGCGAGTGGTTGAAGCAAATGGAGCATAAGAGCCCCCTGGTGGCCGAAGAAAAAAATCCACATATAAGCCGCACCGGTCTATAAGCCGCATGGTTCAAAGTTCAGGAAAAAAGTCGCGGCTTATAGTCCGAAAAATACGGTATTTATATTTTTTTATTGCTGAAACAAGAACCAAATATTTCAGTTGTTTAAAATAATCTGTTCCCCCTCTGTAACATGGGAACAAAATAATTTACCTCAAAGTCTTTAACTGTGTTAATCTCATCATAAACAGCAAAACCTGAAGATTTGAGAAAAGTAGCTTGGCCAATTGGCCAAAGTTACCTGGATGGAACCAAATACTATTTAGGATTGTAAGCTACAGTTTGCTCTGTTTCAGTTAAAGAAAACAAATTTTTTCACTGCATCTTTGATTAATTTTGTCCAGCTGTAGACTAGGTCTCGGTCCAATCAGAGCCAGGTATTGTGTAGTTTGTGCTTTAATCAGTTTTCAGTTCAATTAATTCAATCCAAGTCTATGGAACAGTCACAAAATGTCCCCAAAATCACTCTGTCCCTCTAAAATTGTTCAGAAAATCGAATCATATGGTTCGCTGAATATCGTGATATATATCGTATCGTGAGCAGAGTATCGAATATCGTATCGGTTCGTGAGATTAGTGTATCACTACAGCCCTAGTGGTGGTGGTTCTTATGTAGTTTGCAACAGATTGGATACCCAGCCACATCCTGCACATGTTTTGGTTGAGGTAGTAGTCTTTTTGTGAGTGATCCTTTTTTCTGCTCTCATGGACTCTCCAGTTCATACTGAGCTGTCTTGTACTCCTCTTGAAGGCTTTCTTTTTTTCTGTCCCTGTTAAACCAGGGTTTTTGTTGGGAAACGTACACACAGTCTGTGGTTTCCAAGCAGTCCTGCAGGCTTACAAACTGATGCAGGTCAGGCATTTTTTCTGAAGACTGAAGTTGTTAAAATTTCCCAAAATAATATTGTTTACCTGTAGGTACATCTCCAGTTTGTCTTAGGAGCTGCAGAGCTACACTTGACACCTGCATAGATCTCTGGCAGAAAACATGTTCAGGTCTAAACCCCACATGGATGAGCAGGGCTCTAGAGTGTGACCAATTTGGTCGCAAATGCAACCTGATTTCCTAATAGTGCGACTAAAAAAATGTCCGGTCGCACTGGTGCGACCAGTTGTTCGAGGGGGAGGGGGAGCGGTCGCCCGCTGGAAAAAAAGTTTCCATTTTCCATAAAAATAATCCAGCAGTATCAATGGTGGCCCATCGACAGTCTCATCTCTCCTAATAACAATGCGCTCTGCTCGCGGGCTCCGCTCCACACCTCCTGCACACACACGTTTGTTGTTCTATCCTCATGGGGACTTTGCATTGACTTCCATTCATTTCACTGTCAATTCCATAGCCAACCATAACCTCCCAGTTAGGTTACACACCTAACCCAAACCCTAACCTCACCTGGCTTTGTGTAAGGGGTAAATGGTCAATAATTGTACCCACCATGAAGCAAAAGTCTGTACACACGCGTGCGCGCACACATAGCGAAACAATCGTAGTTTGTTTTTTTTACCCAGATCGAAGTTACTAGATTGTTAACTAATTATTTTTGAGTTAATGTTGCCTTAATGAACAGTGATTAAAAAATAACCTGTAAAACTCTGATGTTAAATGTGACGTGATTGAAAATTTGGGTGCACCTAACTTTTGTGCTGGTGCACCTGAAGAAAAAATGTTAGGCGCGCCGGTGCAACCAGTGCAAAATGTTAGTCTAGAGCCCTGATGAGAAATATTAGTGATTGAAAAACTGGACCAAACTTGCCCATCTTCATTTCTAAGATGAACTCCAGCAGATTAAATCTTAAATGGAAACAGAGAAGACCTAGATGGGTATGTTGTGGTGTACAACAAAGAATACTGGTTTACTTGGTCCGACACCACCTTTATAGGATCCAGAGCTAGATACCACAGCACACCTACAGAGGTCAAAAGGTCATCAGGCCCGAATGTCTGAGGAAACATATCTTTTAAGGTTTTCTCAGGCTTTTTGACATGAAACGCTGATCACAAAGCTATAATCTCAGCTGTTGGGCGGTATTCATCATCTTCATACCCCGGTATACTGTCATATTTTGATACGATATAAACTTTGCAACAATAATTTTTACATACCTTCATCATATTTTGAAACCACAATGTAACATTTAGCGTAGTCTTTTTTTTAATGTATGGTCATCATATTGATACCACGATGTAACCTTTAGCATTGTCATCATTTTTACATACAGTCATCATACATTTATACCACGATATAAGCTTTAGAATAGTCATCATTTTTACGTAGCATCATCATACTTTAATACCACGATGTAACCTTCAGTATAGTCATCATTTTTTCATACAGTCATCTAGAGCTGCCACAAACGATTATTTTTATAATCGATTAATCATCGATTATTTTTTCGATTAGTCGACTAATCGGATTGTGGTGGCACGATTTACCAAGAATGCAGAAACACGTTGGAATAAATGCACAGGAAGTCTGCGTGTGTGGTCGTCAAATGATTTAATTTGAGCAACAACAGAGCAGAAGTCAATCAGAGAAGTCTGTCAAGTTGTGGCTGGCTCGTCAGCGCAGAGCAGCCGATAATATAACATCCTGTAATATGCTTGCAACCAATCACAGTTCGCCAACTGTGAACCATCTAACCAATGACAGGGCTGTCAGCCCGGAAACACCTTATCAAAATAAAAGAGGTCATGCATTGCTGGAGTCTTGAAGTCTGGGCCGATAGAGTAAAACAGCTGAAACTAGTTATCATGAGATGTGATTACTGGACAGTGTCAAGGTAGAACAGATATACATAATTATTCCATAACAGGATCATACGTTAATTGAATATAAAACATACAGCTTATTGTGCCAGAATGCAGCTGCTATTATATATCCATGGTTAGATTTTAGCTATATGCTAACTAAAAATAATTGCTGTGGAAGACAAGTTCTGCTCTGCAGATATTACACAGGTTTCTCTTTCATTTTCTTAAAATGATCCCACACTTTTGAGCTCCGTTGCTGGGTAGCCATGATACCAGAACCTGTCTGTATAATGTGTTGTGACTGTGCATGTGTGTCGAGGACAGAAAGGCAGACGTGGCAGTGGAAGGTGACAAAGCAGTTAGGAGAGAAAAACAAAGTGAACAAAGTGAACAAAAAACGATTAATCGATTTTTAAATTAGTCATCGATTATTTTAATAATCGATTAGTCGTCGATTAATCGACTAATCGTGGCAGCCCTACAGTCATCATACTTTAATACCACGCTGTAACATTTAGCGTAGTCATCATTTTTACATACATCATCATATTTTGATACCACAAGATAACCTTCAGTACAGTCAGCATTTTTACATACTGCCATCATATTTTGATACCGTATTATAACAAAATACATCTGGTTAATATATTGTGTGTTTTTCCTCCAGAGATGAGCATCAGGACTTCAAGGAAGAAATGGAGCGTCTGAGGAGACTGAGGGGCAAAGGCTCACCAAAGAAGGGAGAGGGGAAGAGAGCGGCCAAGAAGAAATGAGGAGAGACCTTTCTGCTCCTCCACAAAAAGTCAGGACTACAATCTGAGGAGGCTCAAAGAGTTGGACTGCAGGTTGTTTCTGTGAGAGGATGCTAACGCTAAACAACTCCATTAGCCTCTCAGTTTCATCTGAAGCCTTCCTGTTAGATTGAACCAATATTTAGTTAAAATGCTCCTGTCCACGTGGACTGTAATTATTCATTTTAGATCTGAATGCTGTTGTTTCTGAACAGATGATGTACAAGACATACAGAGTGAAAATACAAATGTAAATAAAACATTTTTTAAAACTGTATATAATATAATAGTTTTAATCAGGGCAGTCGTTCAGTGTAGATGGAAAAAGCTAGCACTGGCAGCGGCGACAGGCAGCAGCAGTGGTGTGGCGTGTTTGTGATGGTTTTTGTCTTTACCGCCGTAACCAAAGGTTTGGACAAATGTTGCGCGTTATTTTAACCACGGCATACCGGGAATTTTATTTTCACTACTTTCTTCTGTCACCTCCTGAGTGCATTATGTGAGCACTGAAGGCCTCTATATTGCGGGACAGGTGTGGGTGGTGTGGACCTCTGGAGGCCATCCGTTCAAGAGCATCCCAGCGGTAACTGGGGCTGGACTTCGAAGTCAACAGGCATAAGGAAGAGGGGGAGCCGGGTGGTGTTCATCAGACTGAAGATGTACAGCTGAAAACTTTCTGAAAGCTTCATTAAACTTGTGGTACATGAGATATTTTGCCGACATACAGACCTGGATATCAGGGGGTTCTTTAACCTTTTTGACCTCGGGACCCAATTTGTTCAATATAAAGTGACATGAGGCCCAGTCACACATTACCATACAGATAAAAATGATAATTATTCTAAATCTTGGTTTAATTTATATTGTATTTGCATTATAACTAAATAAAATACACTTAGAGTTTAAAAGTAAAACTCCTGTCAATTAACCCCGTAACAGTCATAACAGTCGTCCATGAAATCCTTTTAAATGCCTTTTGACATTTTATTTATTTATTTATTTATTTGTTTGTAAGAATGTTAAACTAAAGAAAACACCTGGAGGAAGTCATCTGACGCTCTGGTTTTCAAAATAATAGCCCCCAGTAGCATCTGAAAACATTTAACCCCTTAACAGTCACCCATAAAATTCCTTAAATTCCTTTTGACATTTTATCTTTTTGTAAGTGTGTCAAAATAAAAGCCCCTGAAACAGTTAAAGGCAGAAACCGCACCAACCCAGTGATGGTACAAAGACAGTTACAAGACATGATTATGAAAAACATTTTTTTTAATATTGTAACCTGCTCGTAACAATTATTTGAACAAATACAACAGTCAGTCAACAGACCACTCGGGCTTATCAACACAAAAAGGTTTTTTAACATAAAAAAACAACAAAAATAGACAATTCAATAAATACATTTGTGATCATAAAATACATTCAAAAATATTTAATGTAAATGTTCAAAAAAAAAAACTAAATGAAAATAAAGCATTTTTAAATTGTTGCATGGTAGAACCAGAAGCTGCTTTTCATATTAGTGACAATAACAGTAACAACAGCTTTTTGACAACATGCTTAAAAATAAACTATGAAAATAAATTTGATAAAGTGCAAATTAAAATATAGCAGTATCTGCAACTGTATTTGATAATGTTTTGAATTTTTAAAATATTGCATGGTAGAACCAGAGGATGCACTTCATATTAGCGACAAACTTGGTTATTTTTTGTTGGGTTACCTTCATTTTTGCTTCTACTTTTAGTTTAAAACAGGTTTCCATTCTCGGCAGGTTTCGAAGATTCTTCTACTATTAAAAAAATTTGTTAAACATCTGAGTGGCGCACTACTGCTACTAGTGGTGAGAAAGTGTACTGCACAGTATTCTAAATCTATGCGGCCCTCTGCGGCCCAAAGTTAAAAACTTCTTCTTTTGAGGCCCTCGAGGTGGTGGGCCGCGGACTCGGGTTGGTTAGAAGGAGGGATCAAGGCTCCCAAACAAAAAAGTAAAAATGTCTTGGCAACGAAACCTGGAATGTTTGGTAAAATGATTTCTAGCAGATGGTTCAGGAATGTCCAAGCAAACGAGAGTTGTGGATTCAGGACAAGGTTCTCGTCCACGACCCCTCTCCACTCAGACCTCAGACGCTGAAGACACAGGTGAGGTGTTGACTGAGTCGTGGAGTCTCTGAGGAAAGGTGTCAACCCTCTCCTCCCCTCTATCACGTGAGGTGTGTGGGCAACTGGTGGGCTCAGGTGCAGAGTCCTGGGGTCCTCTAATAACAAAGTCGTAAACCTGGAGCTCAGGAGACCACTTGAACAAATAGGAAACTGCTGGAACTGCATTATGCTGATGGCATTAGTCCCACCAATGTACACTGGTATGGAGGGTTAAAGGAGACAAAGAAATGCATTGTTAAAATCAATAAACATGATTACTAGAAACATTAATTAAACATATTTATTACACTGTATTTCATGTGTCTCCAATGTGGAGTCGTAATAAATAAAAACACTGAAATATTTTAACATTTTTACAAACCTCTCTTTAAAATAACATTGCATTATTTAAATTCATAATTAAAAAAGGTAGATTTAATTATTTGGGAGATTTAGTTAATGTTATGTTACAAAATCTAATGACGTCTTTAATAGTTTATTATCTTTAATGGGAGATTTACATTATTTCATGAAACATTTAATTGCACATTTTATAATTCAACGGTACATTTAATTATTTAATGATGTACTGAATGATTTAATGATACGTGATAATGATTTATTCAGTGAAGTTAAACTGGGTAGAGTATTCTGAAATTTTACTTGAGTAGTGATATTTCATATTACTCAAGTAGTAAAAAAGTTAAAAAAGAAAAAAATTGTGTAGGTCTTCTGGACGGGTTCTTCTCTAATGAAACGTTTCGTCTCTCCTCCAAGAGACTTCTTCAGTCTGAGAG